TGGGGTGTAGATGTGGGTGTGGAGTGGGTGTGGGTGTGGGTGTGGGGGCGGGTGTGGAGTGCGGGTGCGGGCATGGCTGTGTGCCAGAGATGAGAATATTCACACCCACACCTATCCTACAGGACATATCACCTCAGTGAGGGTGAGGGCGGAAAGCTTCACAGGATGGCACCTCAAGTAAAGGTGAAGGCAGAAAGCTTTATAGGATGCTAGGGAAAGTGAAGATGAGGGTGAATATCTACTCACCACAGACCACTCTCTGAACCTGAGACTGAGTAAAGATTTTGTAGCTGCACGCCATAAAAATTGCAGTGATTCACCACTGCTGAAATGTCAAAAGGAAACATTCTGAAATCTGGATGTCTAATGATAGAGCATCAGATATTCTGATCATGTAGCCTTGCCTAAACGAGAGAGTATTTTCTGCTGCATAGTTCAGTTCAAAAATGTACAGCAAACGGAATCAAGCCCGACAGCATACTGCGAAAAATGCAGACTTTCTTTTGAAAATACTGAAAGAACCTTAACAAGAGAAAACTTACTTTTTGATTCGACGGTTGGAAATAAAGCCAGCCGTGTACAAAGCTACCAGTCCTTGCCTACTTACTAAACAAGCATCAATGACAAAAGCACCTCCTTATTAATCGCAAGCAGCAATGTCCCCAGCGCACTAGACTGTTCCAATCTCATCTGGACTATCTTCCTTACCATCGATACTGTGTAATGATATACACTCCATCGCTACAACCAACTTTAGAGAACCTTTCCGTTATACTAAGATTTGGCTTAAACATCATTTATTTCCAAAAATATAAAAATCAAGAAGATACAATACGCACTGATGCACTTTTCTTAGGACAATCCCAGGTGTCCAAAACTACACAAAACCCTAACATTTCGCAGAACCAGCACTATCTCGATCACTGCATTAAAAGCACTCAAAATTCTCAAGTTTTAGGGGTAGGCAATAACAATTTTGGGTATCCATCTCATTACACCAAAAGTACTCAAAATTCTCAAGTTTTAGGGGTATGCAATAACAATTTTGCATATCCATCTCATTACCTCAAAAGCACTCAAAATTCTCAAGTTTTAGGGTATACACTAACAATTTTGGGTATCCATCTCATTACACCAAATTCACTCAAATTCCTCAAGTTTTAGGGATATGCACTAAAAATCTTGGATATCCATCTCGTTACACCAAAAGCACTCAAAATTCTCAAGTTTTAGGCGTATACACTAAAAATTTTGGGTCTCCATCTCATTACACCAAAAGCACTCAAAATTCTCAAGTTTTAGGGTATATAATAACAATCTTGGGTATCCATCTCGTTACACCAAAAGCACTCAAAATTCTCAAGTTTTAGGGTATACACTAAAAATTTTGGTTTTCCATCTCATTACACCAAAAGCACTCAAATTCCTCAAGTTTTAGGGGTATGCACTAAAACTTTTGGGTATCCATCTCGTTACACCAAAAGCAGTCAAAATTCTCAAGTTTTAGGGGTATACACTAAAAATTTTGAGTATCGAACTGATTACACCAAAAGCACTCAAAATTCTCAAGTTTTAGGGTATGCAATAACAATTTTGGGTATCCATCTCATTACACCAAAAGCACTCAAAATCCTCAACTTTTTAAGAGTATATGGATGTTTTAAAATGTCGATACCCGAGTTCCGGATATTATGACATCCCTCAACTCAAAATATGAAAGTGAGAATTTTAAAATTTATTTGTTTAGACTCCTGAAAAAAGAACTTTCAAGAATAATGCCCCCATCCAGATACGAATTCCTAACTTTCTATCTTCTCCCAGTTGACGTTTACGCAGTGAACACAGTAACGAAACTGGTTTTGCTCAATTAACTGCTACGGATGTAATAGGAGAAGCACAGAATGGCATCCATGAACAACAAATACAACCAAGTCAAGAGAATCTAGCGAATGAAACAATGAAACACCGTCGAATCCAACTGGAAAAGCAAAAACAGCGAAATCAATCGAACAGGTCAAATGAAGCAGCGGAAGAGCGTCAAGCTCGATTGAAAAAAGTAAAAGAACGGGCTCAATCCGGTCGTATGAATGAAACAGAAGAGCAACGCCAGATTCGACTAGAAAAGCAAAGAAAGCAAAGTCAAGCAAATAGAGCTAAAAAAAATAGTTGAAAAATCTACATCTAATACACTAAATACACAGCAACAAAACTTTTCCGCTCAGTCGAACGAAACTGAACCCAATGCACTATGGGACACTCGCGGCATTCACGATTTTACAAACAATAAATATATCACAAAAGAACAAGAGTTCTATTTCCTCGCTTTGACCGGAATCCATCTCCCGTAATCTGAAAGAGGGCTGCCTGAAGAAATTTCTTCAAAAAATGTCCATGTCAGCATTGGCTGAAGCTACTTGTGCTGTTTGTAATGCCCGTACTCAAACGCAAAAGTTGAAGGAATTACTAGTCTCGAAAATTCCCCACATTGATTTGCTTAAAGTTCCTGACGCGCTCAAAGATTTCATCATAACCAGCCAAACATCCCCAGTACAATACGCTGACGAATAAATTGGAATCTCCGAGAATGATAGTGTTATACAAAGGACGAGACCCACTCAAAGTAGTCTATGATTGTAATAAATTAGGTATTCATTTTAAAAAATGTAGCTATTTTAGGTACGTCAACTTGTAATTCATCAGATATTCAATATGACAACGGTATTGTCTTATACGTGAATGGTTTGTTTCACCAAAATACAGTAAAGATGTGTACAATTTGCCAAAAATGCCACGAGTCTTTATCAAAAGGGAACATTCCTAAGTTTTCACCTGCTAATAATATGTGGTTAGGCGGTATCCCTCCTGACTTACAAGGATTAACGATTCCAGAAGAAAAGCTAATTTCACTTTATCGTCATACTAGCTGTGTGATAAAACTTTATTCGCCATTTCACTCAGCTACAACTGCTCAAGCAGCATTGAAAGGCAATTGTATTACCTTTCTTCAAAGTTTACCACTGAAACTTGATGATTTGTGTGATACATTAAGTGATTTTTGTTGGTGCACATTCTCCTGAGCGCGTCCGTATTAAGACAGTTTTAACAGTCCGCAAGAAAAAAAGTCACTCAAGCATTACATTGGCTGAAAAAAACATACTTTATCACAACGTCGAGATAAATCTTCATAATATTAATCAATTACCTGAAGATGACGTACCAGAAGCCATCATGTCAACGATGGAACAGAAGATCGGTGATGAAGAAATTCCATCAGAAAGAGTCGGATATGTTCCTGATCCATTAGCTGATCCGACGGAATCCACAAATTCAGACACCATCCCTATTAGCAATAGGTAAGATCTACCAGCAAATAAGTCTTTTTTAAAGTCTTTTTTCTCTGTAGTAGCGTTCTCGACGTAAATGGATCCACTGTAACTTCAGACGAAATCAAAAATGACAAAACAACCGAACAGATGAATATCGAAAGTATTTACGTAATTCCTCATTCATCGAAACCTGTTAATGAATATTTTAATCCAAAATTATTACTAGGGCTGTATCCAACTCTATTCTGTTATGGATATGGATCACCGGAAGATAAATCGCGTCCAGTTGAAATAAAATTACGAGACCACATACGTTATCTATTATCATACAACGACCGACGCTTTGAAACAAACTATAGTTTTATATTTGTAGTTTTTAATCTTTTGCAACGACGTGATGCTTGTTTTCATGCTCAACTGATAGCCACAAAACCTTACTTTCAAGCATCTGCTCAGGAAATTCAGTTATTAAACAGTAACGATATTGAAATGGCTCTCAACAAAAGTGCAAAAAATACGTTTAGCTCGGCATCCAATGCATCATTGTGTAAACTACTCAATCATATTAAGACCATCGGTGGTCGAGTTATGGGTTCAGCGTATTCAAGAACAGCTTTGCGCACTCGTATTCATGCACTAATCTATAATCAAGGTCTACCAAGCATTTTTCTAACTTTGAATCCAGCCGATATTCACAATTCTGTTGCACTCTATTATGCCGGTGTCAAGCTTGATTTAGACGACATTTAAATCGAACAACTAATGACTACTTATAAAAGAGCCGAAATTATTGCTTCACATCCCGTGGCTACTGCGAAGTTTTTCCATTTATTAATCACTAACATATTAGATACTATGATAGTTGGTGGTGTTCTTGGACCAATAAAAGCTTACTTTGGTACTGTTGAAAGTCAAGGACATGGCTCTCTTCACTTACAACCTTCTTATATGGCTTGATCATGATTTTAAGCCATCTGATTTGAAAGAGAAGATTCAAAATGTTGATTTTCGCGAAAAGTTAAAAGAATATGTAGAAGATATTATCAAAGAAGACTTAGATGAATTCAAAGGCAAACGTACCTTTGAAAATCCAGATAGTTTAACAAGTTTTAATCCTTTTCACACGTAATCTGTTCTTTTTTATTTTAGTCTTAGGAGTGTGCGTTACTCCCTCAAGATTATCAAGCGATGATATATATTCCGCTTCAAAAACCATCGATCTCTCAGGATTGGAACAAGATGCAAGTAATTTCGACAATATTCGATCAACACCGATGAAGGAAGAATCTTCTTCATCAATTTTTTTTGCTACACCATCGCCGAAGAGGTATTCAGAAACAACGTTGCATGCTCAACCTAATTATGGTATGTGTATAGTGATCATAAAAACAAGCAAAGTATAGATTTATTTTTTTTAGCAACGAATGCTTTACGTAATGTATCAAAAATAATTCCTGCTTGCTTACCTACTCTAAATCCATCATCACCTAATTTTGCATCAAGATTTCGTGCACATATAGTACAGCTTGTCGAAACAAATAATATTCACAAACACAGTGATACATGCTACAAATACTGGAATGCTAATCGAGGCGATAAAAAAACGTGCCGAATGCATATGCCGCGTAAATTAGTATCCAATTCAACAATTGATCCTGCTACTGGGAATATTTGTATGCGACGATCCGATCCTTGGATCAATAATTTTAATGAATACCTCATCGCAGCTTCCCGCTCAAATATGGACATTAAATTTATTTGGAGTGGTAGCGATGCAAAGGCTCTTGTTTATTATATTACTGATTATGTGACAAAAACGAATCTCTCGTTTCATGATATATTTTCTTTGGTACAAAAAAGCATCACATCAGTCCAGAATTTATGCAATCAAACTAATAACGAAAGTGCAATCGAAAAGTCTCGCAGACTCGTTCTGCGCCATTATAATATGCTTGCTTCTCAACAAGAACTATCTGGCGTTCAAGTAGCTTCTTATCTTATGAATTAGGAAGATCACTATACAACGCGTAGATTTCAAGGTCTCTTTTTAATTCAAACTGAACGATTTTTACAAACTGAACTAAATGAAACGCGTGCTCAACAAAAATTGGAAACTGCAGCACAGGGTGAGTATATTAATCTCTGATTTGATGTTTTAAAAGTATGTATCCTTGATCAAACTAGATCAAAAAGGTTTCTGTGTGAAAGCACCAAGGATAAACGAACAACTATATTTCGTTATTAGTTATCTATAATACGCAAAATATTTCATAAGAGAAGTCCCTCTAAATTGAATCATTCACTGCTTTTTCGATGAGAATCTTTTAGATAGTCCACTTCGTTCTTTTTTTGTGACACACAGTTGGACACACTGTTTATTCTCAAGTAGAATTCAAGGGCTAGTATAAAGAGAATAGTATCTCAGCTCAATTATATGAAAAGAAATCTTCTAAACATTAAGTTTAATATTTGCGTGAAGGAAACAAACGCAAAGATCGACTAAATTACAGTATTATAAATTTATTTATAGCTAATTTTTTTTCATATTTTGATGTGATCAACAATGATATGTATGATGATGAAGCTATTGATAATGATAACAGCGACGAAGAACACTTTCAAATTCAATCAGCTGAACACGACAACAAATATGTACTCGTTAACACACGAATTGATTATCAATATCGCTCCGATAATCTCAACAGAATGTGCTTATATGACTTTGTTAGCATATTCTATAAGAAAAACAATGAATACTACAGATCTGAAATATTTATCAAAGATAGCGGGATCAATAGAAGAAAAAATTACCCAAAAAGGTCGACCACCTAATGAACGATTTCTTTTTCAAAGACAGTATTCTCAGGCTACAACATATTTAATGATGAAGTACAGTGAATCTCATGTGCCTGTTCTCTATGGGCCTCAGATACCTCGACAAGATCGTGATGATACTCGAGAACGATATTGTCGGGCTATTCTCACACTTTTCGTGCCCTAGCGTACTGTGGCTGATATTTGTGACATCAGTCAGACATGGAAGATGCATTTAAATCTTGACAACATCTTATTTTGAGAAATTCGTGGACAATAATAGAAAACATTCAACTTTTGCATGAATGTAAAAAGGACCGCGATGATCATTTACTTCAAGTTATTGCCGAAGCACAAACTGACAATGGCTTAGTCGATCCTGTACTGATACCGACTAATCAAGTCGATGGTGAATATGGCACTGATGATAGTGACGATTTACTTGAATTATTATGTAATTTGGATGAAAACACAGTTGCTATGTTCAATGCTACAAAAAACTCAACAGAAAACAAATATATTGAAGAAACAATCGAAGCAGTCAAGAATGTCGGACGACTTAACAGTGTGAACAGTAAGTATTATTTGAATGTGATCTGTAGGTTCGACAGTAATCGTAAAAAATTTGTTGCAGGATATGACCAATATTCTTTAAATGAACCGAGCGATCGTATCGATCAATCATTGGTACCATTCATTTCTGCAACACCTAATCTTGTTTGATTAAATACAAAGTGGCAGGAACAGCTGAAAACTGAGAAAGAACAGATTAGAAGAGGTTTGATTACGGGCAACTTTGACAAAGACGATGATGATATGTTGAATTTGGATACTGCAAGAAGTGCTGTTGCCACTGTAGTGACTCTAAACAATATTAATACGACGACATACGAAAACTATGGCTCGATTCCTCCAGTAATATCAGTGAAAACGAACTCTTGTACTCAGAAGGGTGTTGCCGATGAATTTACACTGAACAGAGAACAACGGGCTGCATTTATGATCATAACAGGTCATCTTGATGGTGATAGCCGTTGTCGTACAGGTAATCTTTATAAAAGTAGTCGTCACATATTGAAGTACATTATATTTTCAGGTAACAATAATGGTCAGCTTCTAATGTGCATATCTGGATGTGGTGGTACAGGCAAATCACAATTGATTCGTGCTCTTACCAAATACTTTTTAGTCACAAAAAGAATACAAATGATGCTGAAGTTAGCACCTACTGGTATTGCCGCTGCTGAAATCGATGGTATGACCATCCATTCATTTTTGGGTGAGAAATGCAACTCAGGAAAAGCCCGTAAGATTAAACCAGGAGATTTAAAACTTGAGAAAGAATGGGCCCTCGTTGAATGCCTCTTAATTGACGAAATAAGTATGGTTGGTTTAACTCTACTTGTGAAAATCAACCGAATTATATGTGCTGCAAAACCTACTGATCCTCAAGTTCCATTTGGTGGTGTAAATGTCATCTTCTTCGGCGATTATTTACAATATCAACCTGTATATGATGTACCCCTACATACAGACTTCACTTTACCGGTTAAAAGTAAATCAAACAAGATAGCAACTGAAAAACAAATTCAACAACGTGTTGCACGTTCTTTAATTCTTCAAATCAATTGTGTGGTCAAACGTATTCAACAGATGAGAACAAACGATCTACATTATCTTCAGCTACTCGAACGACTTCGTCATGAAGAATGTAACTACGATGACTACGAATTATTGATAACACGAGTAGTGGGGCTATCTTCCGTACCCTTGCTAAGTGATTCACCATGGAATAAAGTAAATTTGTTTTTCTAGTTTTAGAAAATTCATCATCTTCATTTTTTTAGGCTCTGATTCTCGTATTTGGTAATGAAGTACGAACACAATTAAACCACAAGGCAGTTAATCACAAAGCAGAACAAGTGGGACAAACACCAATAGTATGCGTTGCCCAAGACACTTGCAAAGGCAAACCAATTGAAGATCGAGCGCTTGTTAAAAAATGATTAGAATTATCTGATAGCAAAACGGAGCATCTACCAGGTCTATTATCTCTTGTTCCTGGAATGCCTGTCATTTTAACGCAAAATATTGCAATTGAATTGGGTCTTATCAACGGTGTAAACGGAATCTTTCGGCAACTTTTCTACCAGGAAGATTTGGTGTCAACTGATATTATTTCGGAAGATTTTTCCAAGAATGCACGATATGTCCATCGTCCTCTGTACGCCTTGGTGGAAATTAACAAATCAAAGATCGAATGCAATTTAGAACAACTTCAGCCAAATCTGATTCCAATACCAGTAATGGAACAAACATTTCGAATCGATATAGGTGATATGCTTCCAAAAGATAAGAAGCCAAAATCAAATAGCAAAACAGTTTTATCCATTAAACGGCACGCATGGTCACTTGTACCAGCTTATTGCATTACAACACACAAGAGTCAAGGTCAAACATTGAATAGAGTTGTAATTGATTTAAAACTGCCAAATGAAATCGATGATATTGCTGCAGTCTATGTACCCTTGTCGCGGGTAAAACACTTGACTGATTTGGTTATTTTGCGATATTTCGATTACAAGGTGTTGTTAATTAAATCCAGCAAGTCACAACTGACAGAAAGTAAACGACTCGATAAACTATATTTAGAGACTCAAGCGCGTTTTCCAGAATGGTTGTAACACCTTTTCTGCTCTACATGAAAACTGCTCTTGTTTGTGTCAATTTTTATGTATACAATTCTCTTTTCTATATTACTTACTCTATGATCTATACATTTGAATATTTTTTATTGTCCGTGTTGCATGTATTAGCAGCATTCGCTTTTTTTTTGATTGTCATGTGAAACGATATGTGAAATATCCAGGTACTACTTTTGTTCTATATATTCATCACATATTCCTTTTTTTCATTATAAGTCTAATATCATTGTAACTCATGATTATTTATCGAATTTCACGAATAAACACACTCCGCTACAATACTATCTCATACTCTTAATTAAATCATTTTATGGTACTAAGTGACTAGGATGGCCCATAAATTCAACAATGAAATCATGTTTTACTTTAAGCACTTTTCTGCTAATATTTTGGTATAAATGTATTCTGACTGAGACACATTGGAACAAGTTTTGGAGAATCATATTCAGTTCTGAAAATTGAAATCAACTTCTTTCAGTTCATTACTATTGTCTCGTAGAATAATACTTGTACCAGCAAATGGCTTTATCAACTAATACTAGTATGAATGGTCGCTGTTTCATACTCTCAATAAGTTTTTGTTGAAAGATACATTGTTTTCATACTAAAAATCTCAGAGCATTTCAAGATATTGTTGTGACTTCGGTGATATACAAGTCAGAATTTTACAATACATATCTTTGCAAGACTTCATTTAATCAAAATGTTAGCGCGAAGTAGCAATTTTGTATGTAGATATTATTATCATTTGAAGCTGAGCATATTTTGAAAGTCAGTTATAACATTATTGTGGCAGAGACAATTCGGTACTTTTTATATTCTCAAAGTTTTCCCGGGGCAATGTAGAATAGTTTTATATTTGTAGAAAGAAAATTAAGTCAGACAAGAAAAACTTCAAAGGACTCTCAATGAATAATCTCGTTATGAATTTGTGTTAAGATAGCTTTTGTGGCGTTAGCTGCTAGTTCCATATCCAATACACACTGTACATGATTATAATCTGCGCGAAAAATAAAACCAGCGTTATCAGAACTGCAAAGAAAAAGCTTTTGATTATCACGCCACCATTGAAGAGTTTCCTCTCCAGTGAGACCACCACGAGGTCGTTTTTTGGTCGAATCCGGTGCACTTACAACTAGCAAAGGTAGATCTCTATGAATCGTAGCATCCTTCTGCAGCTTTAAAATATAATCCGGGATGGTATAACAGCATCGTAATTGATTTTCAAGCTTCTCGAGCATGGTTTGCGTCATTAGAAGAGCAATGTAACCTGGATGTGAAGGACGAAAGAAATGACCGAAATCACCAACTCTGAAATAATCTAAAAAGAATGAAACTGGTCTCAGCAAGCCCCAGGAAGCGGCACGAGCCATTATTCTACATATGAAACGTGCACGATTCATATCCGTTACCACGGGACTTTCTCGTTCAAATACCGTGGGCGGTGTTGGATCCAATAGAATAATACCTGCGACATCTTCTGGATACATTAAATAATAGAGATGTGCTAATAAACCTCCAATTGATCCACCTATAAGAATAAATGGCTTTCGAAGTCTCGATTTCGTAAATACTTGTTTTAGCAATAAGAGTTCACTTTCTAAATTTTCTGTATTCCAATCATTAGGAGGTTCAGAAGCACCGTATCCAGGAAGATCGAATGATAATATTTCAATAGGCTCGTCCATAAATTCGACGAATTTCAAAAGCAATGGTTTGACATAATACATGCTGATACCCATGCCACTTAAATAAATAATAGATGGAAGTTTTGACTCTGGTGCACGAAGATGTACCACATGTATAAGCTTATTATTAGGACCCCAAGGTTTCATTTCGTCTATTGCTGGATAGTATTTTTTTCGATCGCGAGCCTCGGCATACCGTTCATAGAACTGTCCGAATCCAGGAAGAATCCATAGAAGAAGAAACAAAATAAATACGGTCAGAATAATAGGTAAAACCAGAATAATCAAAATTCCAATACATAAAGAAGTACAAAATGATGAATATGTTGTTGTCTTTGCTCGAAAGGACTTGGGTGTCTGTAAGACAGGATTTTCATACCATTTCAATTTCTTGCCAATTTCTTGGTGTTTTTCATCTGAAGAATTAATACTTGATTTTTGTAGTTCATTGCGATCATTCATACTGTTTCTTTTCAATAATGTTTCTTCGTTCTCAGATGAAATTATGATATAAATAGAACATGTGTTTTGATTTCATTATCGTAGTATATTACTACTACGATGATAATTGTTATTCCATTGGTTATCGTGTTGGAAGCGATAGAAGAGTTATATAGAGGGCGTGCATAGTCGAACAGAAAAACAAGGAAAATAACTGAATCTTTGCACGCCACTGCTTATCAGTGCTTACCATTGACGCTATAGTGCATTTCTGATCAACACCAATATGATATTGAGCAAAAGTGAATCAATATGAATGAAATAGATTTCTGCATATTATGCACACAATGAATAAATTGAATTTTCTATTCACAGCAATTGATGTGGTCAAAAATGTGCAAAAAAAAAGAGTTTCATCCAATTATACAAAGCATTTGAAGCAAACAAGAACCACTAAGAATTTTATTAATATGTATCAGTTTGGAGTGTAGTTGGAAAGAGTATGGATATCCCCATTCGACATCTAAATTATAGTGAAAAAGTCCATTTTTTATTATAGAATAAATGCAGACAACAGAATTTTCTATAATGATTTACTCGTCAAATTATCCCTTATGAAATTTGGTTCAAGAAACCCAATCCCTCAGATGAATGAGTTGATGAAGAATTTAATCGGATTTTCTGAGATTCAGGTGTAGACATCGACATTCTGTCAAGTGTTAATAAAAAAAATTTATCTACAGGGTGCTTAAAAATGTTTTTCCAGGGGGTAACTCTAAGCTAACATATAGTAACCGTAATGAATTTTATACCAAATGAAAGCGAGGAAAACATGTGATATTCTGATGCTAAATTGTAAGGGTTCTGAAATTTTTTTTATAGCAAACATAATTTATCTTTAGAATTTCAAGCTATTTCACTATAAAGAAGTTTATTGCTTGAAGCAATTCGAAGTGAATCTGATTGGAAGCGATCGATAGCATCAAAAAGGATTTATTTTTCAAAACTGATTAGTAAAATTAATAATCCATGTGACATTCATTGGCATTCCTCACTGCCTGAAGACGGAACGGATAAGAACATAAAAGAGTTTCAAAGAGTTCCACATTTGATTCCGTCTTACGAGGGAACTATCCCAAGTGTTAATCGCAGATTCGGGCGGGAGTTATACCGGTCGATAGAGCTCAACGAGCTGATCACTATAGTAATAAACGTTTCTCCCGATAGGTCTTTTTTATAGAATTTGTCTGATCATATTAACTCTATCGCACATACTATGCAGGGATATATTAGATCTGTTCATTGTGAAAGACGCATGACAAGTAGTTCTTTTTAGTAATGAAAACGATAACTATTGAAAAAATGTTCAAAACAAAGGATGTGTCGACATTGACTACAAGAAATAAATGGATAACCATTACAGTTACTGATAGAACATTGGTCTATCTTGAAGCTGAAGCAAATTTCATTTATATTCGAAAATGACAGATATTTTGGCGGAAAATATCCACAAGCTGACCATGCATAGGAAATCATTGGTATAAAAATATCAGCAGAAAGTTGGTTGTGAACGAGTGACTGCATCTTGATAACGGAATCTCAAGCCCTCAAATCAATATTGAGATCATCTATCAATATATGGTGATAGATTCTTCGTACTTAACTTTTCCATTGACGAAAGAAATATCGATCGCAAGGTTGTTTTATTGATGTAACCTTTCGTGGTATCACCATCAATTTACAAGATTGTCCTTTGGTTAAATTATCTTCATAAATAGAATTATCGGTTTGAATGGACCATTGATCGACTAATAGAAGAAACCGGTTGTTCGTGACATTCTCGAGGACTTCCTGTATCCAATACTCCATCAACGATTTATTTAATTTACCAGATATACTGCAGGTGACGATCACGTTCGAAGCTGAAAACACATCTTTTGTTACCGGAAAACCACCTGTAGGTTCTTGCAAACAGATGAAAACAGGACCAACGAGTCGACCAGCAACATTGACAAGTGGCATTACAGTATACGAATGTGTGCTGGTGTTGAGTGATTTAATGGTGACAAACGTCGATCTTTCATTTCGAAAAGATAAAGTACGATCTGATGTAAATTCATAATGAAAACCTGATTGATCAATATTAAAAATATATTCAAGCTTGTACTTCGGTAAGATCTTTTTAACTTCATTAATGAACTATTCGCCGGCTTGATGAATTTCTTATTTATGAAAACCTCATGTTTTTCAACGAATTTTGTGACTTTCCTGGAGTGAATGTTATTTCGTCGTTTAAAATTCGACAACCATTTATCGCTAGCGAGGAAAGTATCGATATCTTCCACTGCAGCTTTAGTTAATGATCATCGTCGGATGTCTGTATCATGAACCAGCAAATTTGCATCGCGTGCTTGTTTAAACTTTTCAACAACAGACAATTCAAGGCGAGATAGTTTTTGTCGACGATCTCCAGCGTTTTGCACATGTTCTCGAAATCGTGCTAATTCCATCAGATATTTTACACGTGAAAATTCATGTTGTACTGTTGTAAATGCGATACCCGGCCGAGCAAAATCTACAACTTTTCTCATATAGTCCAACATAAATGCAGTAAATTCGAAACTGGAGTCACTACTATTATCTTCAGGAGTAAAGTCGATATCAGTATTATTGATATCAATATTGTCGACGATCTCCAGAGTAGTATCATCATCAATTTCATAACTGTCGCTTGTAAAAATATCGTTCAACAGATTCAGTATTTGATCAGCGACTGAAGTTTTCTCCTCGGTCAAGTTCGTTATCCGAGCGATGTCTTTTGATAATAGTTCATCGAGTACAGGTTTAGCGATATTTATCATTTTGATAAAGGATATTATCCTGTTGAGAGGCTCACTCTGAAGATCCTAGAATGTGGAATGTTTTATTGTGAACTTATGTTCTCTGTTTTATGAGTGGACGTGATGGGAAATATCCATGAAGATAAACGTGGTATGAAAAATCCGACAGTGGCGAAGAGAACGAAGAGAACAATCCAAATGATAAGATGAATGTGATAGAGAAAATTCCATGTGTGATAATGTAGATGACATAAAGAGAAAAATCCATACGAGAAGGAAGAAAAGAAAAAATTAACGCGCTGCGAAAGAAAGATGCGCTGGAATAGAAGGATCACGCAGTTGATCTTGATCACTCCATGACGATTTAATATTTGTTTTTGTTTCGTGTTCTCGTCAAAGGAGCACGGTACAACCATAGAACAGAGAGAGAGAGAGAGATAAATGAAGAAAGAATAAGCAGTGATAATAATTCCCCTTTCTTTTCTCTCTGCCTATATGAAATTATAGTTAGAACAATACACGGTCAGTCGTAGAACAGTCCATGAACATGACAGCATTATAACTTATACTATTACTATTCACAAGACGTAGAAAACGAATATTCCACACAAAAAAGAAATAAAACGTCAAGTTTGATCATTGCAAAGAGTAGAAATACGATACACACATACGAATCGATGAATTTGATGCTCATATGCTATATTCTATTGGAGAATTTTCACCATAAAATTCTTTGAGAATGGTCTATCGGAAAAAACACTTTTTACTACTGTGCTCAGCTCGTCGAGCTCTATCGATTAGGATACCTCTCGTTCGAATCTGTGATTAGCACTTGGGATAGTTCCCTCGTAAGAAAACAAATTGATTTCTATCGATTTAGAAACCATTGTTCCATATCTATATGTATTGTACAAACAAATATTATGTTCGTGGTATTGATCTTGATAAAAAAAGAATTAACTATTCCACCTGATTTTATGAAACTATCAGGTATAACCTATGATTGAAAAGATGAAAAAATTATATATCGATTAGTTTTATTCAATGAAATACAATGAACAGTTATAATAGAAGGTAATCTAATACATTTTCTACGTGCATTAGCTATGAATTAGATTGAACAAAAATGATATCAATTGTTAAGGAGATCAGAAATTAATGTTGGTGAATATAGAGATTCATTATGGTATAATAATTATTTAATTCAAGATATTTATCACAACCAAAGTATCTCGCTATTGATTCATTGGTTAGCTATGTATTTTACTAAGATTGGAAGAGTTGGTGGCAAGGGGGAAATAGCGGACTCCAATCCAATGGAGTCCAATGAAGTCCAGTG